ACTTGTGTTCGTTAAACATCATATGTAGGCCCGGCATGGCCAGGTGATTAGGGCACTCGACTCGCAATCTGCGGGTCGCGGGTTCGAATCCCCGTCACACCAAAACCTTTCAGCCGTGGGGGCGTTATAATGTGACGGTCAATCCCACTATTCGTTGGTAAAAGAGTAGCACAAGAGTTGGCGGTGGGTGGTGATGACTAGCTGCCTTTCCTATAGTCTTACACAGCTAAATTAGGGACGGCTAGCGCAGATAGCCCTCGTGTAGCTTTGCGCGAAATTCATAACAAACAAACAAACATCATATGTAACTCTAACTGAAATAGACAAAATTTCTGAAAGTTGATGTTAAGATAAATACAGGGAAAGTTATTTTTTCAGTGATACCCCATTCAGTGCTATACTTACTTTTGTAGTTAGATCAAAGTGATTGTAAATGTAAATAGATCAGCATAGATACAATTTTTTCATTAGTTTGGGGAATCAGATTGTTTTGCTAATTATTGTATGAAAATTTCAGGAACAGATGAAAAGGCTATAATTAATATATTAGCCAGACGTGTTAATGCACAACGACAGCAAATTGCTTTGCATTTCAAAACACAATTTGGAAAGGTATGTCAAAGTAAAAACATGTAACTGAAGCAAGCTACAGTATTTTTGTTTTTGTAAGGCCTAGGTTTTGCAAGTGAATGTTTAATCATCCTATCTTGCGTATTGTAATTAACAGAAAACTGACCTTCTACGTTATGATTTCGTTTTTGAAAAATGGGTATCTGTAGTTAGCTAACTTGTTAAAAATAAGTGTTAAAGTAATTGCAGTGAGTGTTTGTTATTAGTCTACTGTTTCAAACTCTTATATAACTATGCTGTTTGATGAGCAATGTCATTAACAGCCTTGATAAGAGATCATTTTCAGATAGGCTGTTGTTTAACATGATATGTACTGAAGCTAGTATTATAATAATGCATGCAGAATGCAATCACAGTGGGATTTCTCTAACACTTATCCAGGGCTATATTGTGGGTAGTGCGAGCAGAGTGTTCGTGCAGAGTGCCAACTCAGATGGAGGTGCCAATTGTCTGATTAACTAACAAAGTGAACTAATGTGCACTTATCAATTGTGACAGCAACATGGGCTAAAGTTTTGTGAATTATTAATGACAGCCAATCACAATTTTAATACTGATAAAGTATTCTAAGAAATTTTTGTATTAACGTATGTATATATAGGAAAATTTAACTCCATTTTTTGTGTAATTTCATATTGCTTGTGCATTACTCTTCTTCCCATTCTTAATGCAGTGCATGTACCAAAAATGTATTGATTCACATTAATAAAGCATGTTGCTAGATGAAGTTAAGTATATATATATGTATGTATATATATTATATCTTTATTATGTACAGAATATTTGTCTGGCTGAATCTGTATTGGTGAAAAATATCCAGCTCAGTCACTCTCTCTTGGTAGACACTTTATTTGTATATCAATTAAATCTTTTAATAGTTTCTGTAAAAAATTTGTAATTAGTTTTGTTTAATGCATTATTTTTTTACTATCAACAGGTTAAGCATTTACTAAACATGATGAAACTTCTTACAGGACTTAATTCATGATCTCAAGAGTGAGTTAAGTGGGAAGCTTGAAGATGTAATTTTGGCTCTTATGACTCCTTTGCCAGTCTATTTAGCTTCAGAATTACACCGAGCTATTTCTGGAGTTGGCACAAATGAAGACACTCTGATTGAGATCCTTTGTACAAGAAACAATCATGATATTCAAGAGATAACAGAAGCATACAAGAAAAGTAAGTTTGTTTATTAAATTATCATGAAACAATCAAAGTCTCAAGTAAATGGCTTATTCAGCAGAGATTTAAAAAAATAACTAACTTATAATTATCTATGATTTCTTTTTATGTCATCCTACAACACTGAAAAACTAAAATACATTTAGTCCAGCCCCACAGTGGTATGTCTGTGGACTTACAATGCTGTGATACCTGTGATGGGCAGAGCACAGATAGCCCATTGTGCAGCTTTGTGCTTAACTAACAAACAACAACAACAACATTTAGCCCAGATATTGAAAAAATGTTTTATACCATTACCCTCATAAATAGGTATTGATTGAAATTATTATAGTAGTAATAAACACATTGAGAATGTTCTTTAAGATTAGTAACCAAATAACATACTGAGTTTATTAACCTTTTATACTTAACACAATAAAGCTTTTGACATTAAGTGAATTAGTTATGTACAAAGTAATCTGCACTAATTTGCCATTTTGTTAGAACCACACACACACACACATTTGTAGAGAACTCTTGTTTTTGGATGTAAAGAATAGACTGACCATGTAATGGATCTATCGTATGATTAATCTGCAAAATCACAAGTAAGAGCAAGGATTTTCCTGGCTTTTCTAGGAGCCTGTTACCAGATGACAATGTAGTTGAAGCATTGTTACCAAAAACTATTTCTCTGACCAGCCAGCCACAGACATCTGTCATCAGAGACTGTCAAAGTAGCAATTGAAATAAACAAAAACAGTGGTTTGAAACCACTGGTGAGAAACAAAATAAAAATTACTGGACAAACTTTTAAAGTGCAATAGACATTAAACCATGTCCCAGTTAACCTATAATCAGGGTCTGACTGAACATACAAAGGATATTACAAAGACATTTTTTGTTGTAGCTGAAAATCACTCCAAAAATCTATATATATATATATATATCAGGTATAAACAAGAAAGCATGGTTTCAGTGATGTCAAGTGTGTAAACTGTGTATGATAAATAATTGAGTGTGTGATATAGTATAAGTTGGATTTTACGCTTTTCTGAAATGATGGTACATCAAAAATATAGATAAAACCAGGTGAGGCATTTGACCCTACTTGTATTGTTTCAACAGTACAAAGTACTGTAGTTGGTACAATAATATGAGAAAACTCTTGTGGTAGGATTGGATCTATTGATTGCTTTAGAAAAGCAAATAATATTTAATGTATACCTGAACACTGTTGATACGTATGTTCATCAGCATGAAAATTCTGATGAACAAAAGCTATTATAAGATGATATGCAACAATTTATGTCTTTTATGTTATTTCATGTATGAAATTAGTTTATAGAGTGTGAAATTATCATCAATCATCTTTTGGACACTGTATTTAGTAGTTCTTCAGTCAACTGAGCATCATCATTAGGAGCTATAATGTTGCATTTACCACTGTGATTTCTTGCTGACATCTTTGATCAAGTTACTGGCCATATTCCTCAATGAATGGGCTAGAACAGATATGGAATTTTTGGAATGAACTAAATTTTCTTAAAGTGACAAAATATGTCTGCAGAATAATGGAAATTCAATGATACATACATTACAAAGTAATTCTGAGTAACTGAATTTGTGAGAAAGGAATATAGAGGCTGGACACAGTTTTACAAAAATACAATGAAGAATCTTACATAATTAAAAACAAAAACCTTTAACATAAGTAACAATTAGAATGTAATGTAATGTAAAACAAAAAACAAATTTCAATATGCTGCTACCTCACCATACAGACTTTTTAACAATGAATTATCATTTAGAGATTACATCATAATAAAAGATCTTCACCAAAGAGTAGTTAGTAATAGTCATATATTACACACAAAAACCTCTTTAACAAAGAAGATATACATGAAATTCTCTAACACCAACAACACTGCAACATGACAAATCCTCATAGGTCAGTGATGTTTATCGATGTACAGTGCTACAATCCAGGGTTTAATTCCGTACAGTAAACAGAGTGCAGGTAGCCCCTTGTGTAGCTTTGTGCTAAAACAATAACATCAGCAGCATAACAATATACCATTTGACACTGATATGTCAGTAATCAAGTCATAATAATAAAAAACATTTTTGTAACATTTAAAATAAATGGGAAACAATACTCTTTAATTCAGATTACAAAAATTACACAATAATCACCCTTTTTCAATAAAATTTCATATACTACACTGTGGAACAAAATCAAGGATAGTAAACAAAATGAATCTTTCAATATAGTGTTTTAAGTTAGTTAAATTATTATAAAATATACATTAAAACACAAAATAAAATCCTTTCAATACATATACAGTTAACACAACCTTTTAAGAGCATCACAAAATCCAAAATATAATTAAGTAATCCCTTTAAATGACAATAATAATAATTAACAAAAATGCACAAGAGAAATTTAATGTCCTAAATATATGGTACTAAACAATTCACACATACATAACAAAGATACATCTACAATCAGATAAAATTATTATATTAAGGTATATGTAGCAGTGAACAGTAGCATTTTTCTAGTACTCAGCTTTACCTTGAGATTACTTTAGCTCCAGGAAGGTCTTTTTTTTTTTGGGCTATAGAATGTAGGTGATCCCACCAGAGGTGAGCAAACATTTGGTGACATCTTCTAGTTATAATGAGATATCCCCTGATGGGACACCTCAGAAGAAACTTTCAACACATTAACATCTGCTTTGACTTCTGCTTCACTAGAGGTGGTGCTTTCTTCTGGTGAGGGCATGAGTTCCACAGATGGATCTGTGACAAACTGGGGTTATGTAAGCCTAGAAGACATCAAAGACAACCGACCAACTGATTTGGCCAGATTCCTTATATCTGATAGATCATCAGCAAAACATCTTTATCCATGGGTTCTAGTGAGTCTTCACATTAGTAGCAAAATCCTGTTCAGAAATCCTGAGCATATTGGTGGTTGTCAAAACTTCCTTCCATGATGCAGCTTGATCAAAATTTGGAGGCTTCAAAACACAAGAACAAGAAACATTATTGACTAGTTGAAGAGCAAGATAGTCAGAATGGTCAAACATTTGATCTTAAATGGCAGAAGTCCAGATTGAAAATGCAAGATCAAATAAACTGTGATTTTCTGAAGGTCACCTAGGGGTTTATGTTGTAAAGTGGGTGGTGCTGCCTGGTTACAACCATACTCTTCTTTAAATCAACCTTTAAAGACAGTGTCAAAATAAATTAACTTTGTAAAGTGATATTTCTATGTGCTTCACTTGTACTTATGCTTTATATCACCCTTAAAAAATATATTCTAACACCTGTGAAATTTTTGGTCCCCCAGGCTTAATTGGGTTTCCACTTGACAAATACCTATAGATGAGCTTCCCTATGTTGCCATTTCTGGGGTATTAACCAACACAGCTTACCCTCTAACTCAGACACAGTAATACTGGCAGCAGGTTATCAAAGTGACTGATGCAGTCTTGCAGACATCCCATGAGAAAGCATGGTCGGGTCAACCAAAATTTATTTTTATAGAATACATTCAGTTGCAAGTATGAAGTATGGCTTAAACTAACCTTATGAATATTAAACCCATCATATCTTGACTGTAATCAAAACTTTGAAGGCAGGTCCATCATCTCTTGATTTTGACTTTCCTCCCCCTAGAAAAATTCCTGTGGATGCCCATGGTGGTGAGAAAATTCTTTAGCATTTATATGTTGTGGGCCTGGATGGTGCTGTATAACTAAATCATACTTCTGCATTGCTGTTATCCAGTGTGCAATGATTAATTCTTGATTAAGTCCATTAACCATTTCGACAATGCATATTCTACCCAGTTGGTAAAATTTTTTGCATACAAGTGTTGGTGATAATGTTTTATGAACCCTATAACTGCAAGAAGGTTTTTCTTCATTACACATTATCTGCATTCCAGAGCCATAAGTGTATGACTTACATACATAATTATATGTTCTACTCTGTCCTGCTAACACTGCTCATGTTCCACTATCACTGGCATAAGTGTCTAAAATGAACCCAGAATCCTGTCGTGGAGTTCCTACTAAAGCATACTTCAGGAACTCAAATACTTGCTGCCATTCCTCACTTAACCTAAAATGTGTCTTGACTTTAGTGATGCGGTGATCTTAGAGCATTTTGCCACAAAACAACAATAGTACAATGTGAAACCAAGCAAACTACAGATTTCTCATTTGGTCATAGGTTCAGACCAATCTTTCACTGCTGCTATTTTAGCAGGATCCATAGAAATTCCATCTCTATGTACAATTTTACCAGTAAATTCCACTTCTATGCACATGAACACATTTTCCTGATTTCAGTTTCAAGCCTGAAGTTTTTATCCACTGCAATACCATTTATACAGGTTCTCAGCTGCAGACTCAAATGTGTGATAAAACACTAAGATGTTGTCAACGTAAACCAAGCACTTCTCCCATCATAGCCCCTTCAGTGTAAGCTCCATTAGCCTCTCAAAAGTGATGGACATATTACATAGGCCAAATGGCATGATGCAAAACTCATAAAAAAAGCCATCTCTCATGCTGAGAGCAGCCTTAGGTCTGCTCTCATTATCCAGCTCAACTTTCCAGTATCCAGATGTCAGGGCTAACATGATGAACCACTGAGCCTATTTCAATGTAACCCAGACATTAATTTGTTTGTGGTAGTGGAACAGCATCACTATGAGTCTAAAATCAACACAAAACCTGTATGTATCTTCCTGTTTTCTTACAATCACTATTGGAGATGACCATGCACTCTATGTATGATTCCATCCTTTAACACCCAATGTACCTCAGCACTGACCACATCTCTAGTGTTTCAGGGAAGCTTGCATAGTGGTTGTTTAATTGGATGTGCATTACCTGATATGATGCTGTGTGCTTGTTGTTTAACACAAATGACCATCTGTTCCTTCAAATACATCAGCATATTCAGCCAACAAATCATAGAGTTGCTGTCACTATGTTGAATCTAGATTATTTGCACAATCATCAGCTAGTGATCTTAGACTTGTTGGTAACCATGTACTTGGTTTTGGATGTAGCAAAACAGACACAACCCTTGCATTATTTCTAGCCTTGGTTAATTCCACTTTAGTCATCGTGCTGATGACCATTCCAGAAGGAATCTGGGTTACTGATCACGCATAACTTAAGAACACCAGGACGTCATCCCTTCTCAGACAGATAGATGCCTGAGCTAACACTGCTTTGAATAGGAAACAGTACATTTCATGCATGGGCTCTATTATTGTATTACATGCCAACAACTCACTAGACTTTGTCCATAGTAAACCATGGAGCACCACTTGTGACTTCCTCACATGGAAGTACTTTGAGTTTCTCACCAATATACCATTGTGTATTTCACTGTTCCTGTACCTGGTCTGGCTGGCATGAGATAACTCCCACAGAACATCAAATTACTGGTTGCACAGGCAAAACTGACCAATAAGATTTACAGTATGTCCATTCCAAGGATGCTAATGCTAGAGCTAAGGCAGTTGACAACTACTTTCATTTTGAGTTCCCTGAGTAATGGAATTCTTGAAAAGGAAATAAAGAAACTGGACACAATAGTAAGAAAATACAATAACAATATTTATTCCATATGCATACTTGCTTTTGGACCTATTTTCTTTCCAAATTAACTGCCTTGGTTGAGATCTTATTTCAGACTTTCTACACCTTACATTACTTATGTAAATCTTTAACATCAAGATTTACCTAAAATGACTAGCACTACCCACATAACTAGTCATTCCTGTTCAACCATAATGGAAGTTGCAATCTCAAGACATCTCCTGACATGTCATTGGAAGATGCTGCTACATTATCCATGCACAAGGTGCAGCTTTACAGCAATACCAACCATGGGTAGACCCCCAGGTGTTATCTCAACAGAATAACATGGAACAAAGGTGGCTAGAATGAAAGGAAATTAATGACTTCTTGTCCATGTGTTTTGTGAAAACTGCATAAACCTAGAATAACTAACAAATTAAAAAAATTATAGAGTAAACCAAGAAGGTGGAAAATTTATGATATGCCTACATATTACATTCTGGAATCTTGTGAATTTATTTATATGCCTTGGCTCTTCTGTTACTATGATGAGAGGTTTTCCTTTCAGTACTAAGTGAGGGTCCTAATAAAATGACTGCCAGTGTAGTGTGCTCCTGGATTATTATAACCCAGTACGTCTTTTAGTTTGGCTAGTCTGTGAATCCCCTTAACCTATTAGAATGTTGTTTAGTGTAGATACATGTATACATTAAAGAGAATTTGACAAGAGTTTGTATTTTTACTATTTGAGGTCGAAATTATAGTTTATGATATGAAGAGTAACACTGAAGTATTAACCTTTAGTATAAATGTGTTATTTATTTTTGATGACAAAAGAAATTTCAAAATATTTTTTAATGTTGCATGTTTTGATGATAAAAAACCAAACTTAATATCATTGTATCAAAGGATAATTTATAACTCTGAAAAAAAACCCATCTAGAAATTTTCTCATCATTATGATAATAACAGCAACATGATCATTTTGAATATAAATTGATTGAAACTGAAGTATATAGCTGTTTTATTGATACTTTTTTTACTTGAAACAGTATATGGTAATTCTTTGGAGAATGATTTGATTGGAGACACTTCAGGACCTTTGAGACGTCTTCTGGTTTCCTTGTCCACAGTAAGCTAAGATATATGTATTTTATCACAAAATTGATCTGGAACTTTCTCTTTTCTGATGTAGTTTTTCATTATGAAAAACTATATCATCCAGTTATGTGTAATGATTTTTATACACAATAGAGTAATTATGACAGTTTACTGATCTGAAGTTATCACAAATTTCCTTGAAATTGATTAGGCTAGGTGTGTCCTAGTGGTTAGCATGACCATACTGTGAATCTGATGGTTCAGGGTTCATGATCTATTGCTGCTGTGTTTGTTCACTCCTATTGTGTAGTTAGAAAAGAATAGCCTAATAATTGGTGATGGATGCTGTTTACTAGCTTCCTTCCATATAATCAATCAGCTTAAAAATTAGGGACAACTATGCACAAATAGCCCTTTTTGTAGTGTGATGAGAAAACACTAAAACAAACAAACAAATAAAGTTAAAATTACTCACAAATAATATGAGAGTAATTTTAAGTTACAAATTTTAGTAAAGTATTTGATGCTTTAGGGATTAAATGATAAACAAAATCCTTACAAAATTTTGAAAATATATTCAAATTTTTTAACATTCTTAATTAACATCTCAAAATTCATGTATTTATAATACATAAATTTGAATCAGGTTTACACTATGTGATTTCTAATCAAAGTAATAGATATTTTCTTTGTATGAGCTGAACTAAATATAAATAATTTTGGCAGAACTCTTTTTAAATAGAAGCATGAACACACCAGTTTTGTTCACTTACAGATTAAATATTAATTCATTGAAATAATTTTCCTTTGGTGGTTGTATTTTGAACTTTGAATGACTGCCAGTGTAGTGTGCTCCTTGATTATTTTGAATATAAATAGATTGAAACTGTATATAGCTTTTTTATATTAATCCTTTTTTACATGAACCAGTATAATGTCATTCTTTGGAGAATGGGTTGATAGTGTATTTATATATATATATTTATTCGTACCATTCATAGATACAATTAATACAGTTACAGACATCAGCAGTTATACAGATAATTAATATATACACAGGTGGGAAATAATAATACTGTTACGACTGCGGAAGTCACATGGTGCTGGTAACACGTCATGAGTTTCTAGAAGAATCATGACTTTTCCTGGCAACTCTAGTCTTTTCCAGGCGCCCTCTATTTTAGTATTTAAGCCCGGCAAATAATTGCAGATAGAGAGAGAGATATAGAGACAGATAAATGAGTCAAGCGAGTGGTAGTGACCGTAAGTAAAGTGCATGAATCGTTGTGAATTATAGCATGTGTTGAAGTGAAAGTGACTGTGGAAATTCTGTGTATTGCAAAGTTGTATTGAGAAAGAATAAACTAGTTTTATTTAAGAAAGGACTTGTATCGCTGAAGTTCCTAGGGAAGAATTTATATCAGAAATTAACAAATGACCAGATATGCAACAATATTTATATCTACCCTGATGTTACCTCGTGATGTCTCCCTGAAGCAGATAAAGTCTCCAATAGCACTGGCTCTTTGGTCTCTGTAATTAAAGCTGATTCGCTTAATGGAACAATCATGCCACAGAACAATATAGGCTGTTCTATATTATCATTACTAACTGAAGTAGGACACCTAAATTTCAGAAACTGACATTTTGCTGGATTGAACTTAATGTTAAGGTCCTTGCCTATTTCCAAAATATTCAATAACCCAGTTCTCGACGGAGCTAAAAGGATAATGTCATTGGCGTAAGCAATCACTCCTGCAAATGTTCTGCCAATGTAGCAACCTTGACCACAGTTACGTAGCTCAGTAAGTAACATATTAGCACAGGTGATAGAATTCCGCCTAGCTTGACACCGTTGGACACAGATATCGAACCTGAAAGAATCTCTCCCCAGAGAAGCCGCACCACCTGTCCTGTATGCATAAGTAACAGTACTCTACATGTTAAAGGACATAAACCTTTCTCAAGTAATCGTTTAAACAGTTTAATATACTGAAGATGGTCAAAAGCCTGACTCCCAACCAAAAACATGCAAAACATGGATGTGTCGTTATTTAAGTAATACTGAATTACTTCTTGTACAGCAAAAGTACACCATGTAGTCGAAGATTTCTGCTTAAAACCAAATTGCAGATTGGTTGTAACCAGTGACTCAGCATTCATTTCTAATATTATAAGCTCAAAAAGTTTACTTAACAGGCTGTTTAAAGCAATGGCCCTATAATTACCTGAGTCACTCAGCGATTTTCTCGTACTTTTTGGAATAGGTATGATGGTCGATGCCAACATATCACCAGGGACGTAACTATGACACATCATCATTGTAAACAATATGGTTAGATGTGTGCATAATACCAGTCCTCCATGTTTGATATGGTTGGTAGAAGATAATCCATCACCAGCTCTCTTACCAGAGTTAAGATGGGACCCGGAATTATCAATTAAGTCAGTCGTAACAAAGTGGCCATGATAACACTGGTCACTGCAGCAGTGATGACGAATTTTCTCATCAAGTTCCCATACCAAGGTGGCCATATCCTCTTCTTCATAGGAGTCACAGTTATACAGATGCTCATACTTATGAGCAAATACATTGGCAGTTTCTCTTTCACCGGTAGCACCATCAACAGTAGAAGGAACAGGTTTAGAAGTTTTGTTGCACTTCTTCACCTCCTTCCATAAGTCGCGGTTCTGACAGTTCACGAGTACATCAGCCATCTTCTGAGACGATAGCTGATATGCTCGGTATTTGACACGTTTTACTGCACGATGATACTATGCACAAGTACTCCTCCGTATCTGGGCAATTAGCCCAACTATTTGTCTTCCCATTTCTTTCCAGATGAAATGCCAAAAGAGTGCATTTTCGTGTACGGGTTTCACCTCTTTGTTCCAGCCAGCCACAGAAGGTTTGTTACTGTGAGCACGTGGTATAGATTTCAAATTAGAGTCTATACAGGATTTAACTAGCTTATCATGGTAGTCTTCTATCGACGCATCATGACGTTTACAGTTAACCTGATTACAATGAATTACCTTGCTCGGTATCCGGACATTATCTAAACATTTCCTCAGTCCACTCTGATAGGCTTCAATTGACTCAGACTTAGCCTTGTCCCATTTGAATCTCAGATGCAGTGTAGTGACGTGTGCAGGTACAAGTCGTTTTATTGAGGATGAGTCAACCATAGAAAGGGAAATGACACTATGATCCGAAAAATTATCCACGTCATGACATATCACACCTTTAGGCTGACAATCCAACATGTTATTAGTGACAAAGAAATGATCAATATTTGACCTATCACCAAACACTTCTCAAACGTGTAATCAGATGCATGTTCACCAGTGTATGATCTAGTCAGACATAACTCCTCGTCTTGTAGGAACCTTTCCACTGACAGTCGACTAGCTAACTGCCAATGTTCTTGAAGAAAGACAAAGTCATGGTTATGAGTCAGCTCACGAATATAGTCAATCTTTCCAGACCCAAGGCCTTTACAGTTATATGAGGCAAAAGTGAGAGACATTATTAACAATAACACAATCAGACGGGACATGACTAACTACTAGCAGTTACAGAGTCTTTGTCACGCATTGGTTTGACAGGCAGCTAGTATTGTTTGACTTGTATACACCCAGGCCAAATTGGTTGATTCAGTATATCGAAATCATTTTTGGAAACAGTGAGATGAAAAGCTTGATAACGCCAGTCATCTAGTGAAACTTTCTGTAGATCTATTACGTAACAATCGTTATATTCTACAAAAGCACAGATATCCTCAACTTTCACTTCGTTAGAAATGTTAATGATGTATAAATTCCTGTTGGGACCTGGTCCTCCAGTGAGAGTACGAAAATCCTCACCATACCAATTACGACTTTTCTTTGTCATTCACGGCGATTATTCCATCTCTCCTGCTCTTTGGGAAGCCTGAAGTGCCCGTCAGTGTTCTCTGCAAGAGGCAATTAAGACTTAATAGTACTCAACAGATTTTCACTAAGTTCAGTTGGAAGTTTAGGAATAATTGAAGACTTCCCGCTGCCAGGTTGGTCCTTCTTCATCTTCTTCTTGTTCTTCCATTTAGAAAATTCGGCAGAGCTCGCGCTTGATGTAGCGGTAAGCTCAGGCAAGTAAACTCACAAATCACAGCCTGGTTTCTCACCAGCATGTATTTCGGTCACCACGGGTGTGATGTCAGCAGTGGCTGAAGTACTTACATCACGTGCTGCAGGTTTATACAAATGCTTGTTCAACATGGCTTTAATGGCAATGTTTTCTTCAAACATCTGCACGACAGCTTTTTTCATACAAGTCACAGTCTTTTTCAACTGACTAACACGTTCGATTAGTGAAACAATGTTGAGTTCCTCAGGGTGAAATCGTGGCACACGATACAAGTCTTTAGCCTTAACTGCAATACACGGTAGTTTCTTGACCATTTCTAGCTTTGAAATTCCCTCCAAAATATCATGCAAATGTGCCTCTTTTACAGTACGAGTTTTACCATCATGCTGTTCAGGTAATTCGCCAAGGGTAGATTGATCACAATGGTCCCAGAGTGTACTTCTAGCATCCTTCACCTGTACATTAGAAAATTTCCTGAGAACAGCTGATTTCAAGTTGACTTCAGTACACCTGTTACGTGCAAACAATATGTACGCTAAAACAGGTAAAATAACCTCCACGATGTCTTCAATAGACGTATTCAATGCAGCAGCACTGTTGGTTTCAGGCATTCTTAATCCACTCAACGTACAAGGTTAAGGGAACTCGCTTTGACACGTCTTACCACCACTGAAGGCCCTTGATGTAAGTCTTGCATGCCTTACTTTAGAAAGGACATTGAATCATTGGAAAAGGTTCAGAGGAGAGCTATTAGAATGATACCTGGAATGAAAAGATTGTTGTATGAAAACGAATTAAGATCTATAAAATTGTTTTCTCTTGAAAAAAGAAGAGATAGGAGGGAGTTGATTGAGGTGTTTAAGATTGTTAAGGGCATTGATAGTATTGATGTATCATCATTTTTATACTTAATGATGAGGATGTTAGGACCATGGGACATAAGTATACATATTGGCAGAACAGGAGTCATCTTCAGCTAAGGTAGCTATGTTTTTCTAGCAATGTGGTTGGCCTTTGGAATGGTTTGTGTACAGATGTGGTGTATACAGTTAATTTAAGGAAGTTTAAGGGAAGATTTGTTAAATATATGAATGAGAAAGGCTGGCTTTGAGTGTTTTATTTTTCTTTTAAAGTTTAGTTTTGTAAATAGGATGGACTAATAGATCCCTTTTGTCCTTAAGAAAAAGAAAAACATTTTTGTAGATATTTCTATAAAAGCTTTATATATACCCGTTACCAAAGAACTGGTAGTTTAGGTAACATTCTTGCATGGCTAATAATATATAATATCAGAGTATATCAGTTACATCCTTCTGCTTCATTATTATAAATGTTTAAAGTATTTTTTTGTATCTTTAGGGTGCAAGAGATGAAGGTCCTGCAGATCCAGCTAAAGCTAAAGAAGATGCTCTGGTGAGGAAATAAATTCTGAGAAATTTATTCATAGGCAGAAGAATAAGACAAACTAGAGACCTTGATCACTAGATCAATAGTTTGTGTGAAATAATGTCACAATAACATTAAAATAATTTTTAACTTTTGGATATACAAGACTGTTTGGTGTGAAAGTTGTTATTTGGTTCATTTGGTGGTTTAATGTTTAATGATTGTTTAGTTTTCAAAACAATAGTGTTGAAGGTGATTGTTTTGGAGGTGATGGTTATGACAAGTTTCGTTATGTAACTCTGTAAGAGTCATAATTTGTGTGTGTAGTTTAATTGTTGTAGTATTTTTGACGTCATTTTTCTCTAAACCTCTAAGCTTTTCTCCCTGTGTGAGTATTGTTATGGCATAGCATCTCCTAGTTTGTAGAAAATTCCAGGCCTCAGTTGGGCAAGGTATGTATATAGGTGACCAAGTGAGCACTAGTCGAGTAAAGTTCAGTCAGAAAAAAAGTTAGAAAATGGGAAGTTAGCCGGCATGTGAGGGATTAGACTTAATGTGTGATTTCTGTAGTGTGTTTCACAGCTGTATTGTAACAACAGAAATTGTAATAATAGAGTTAAAGGAGAATAATTTGTCTTATCAGTTGGGTTCTAAAGCAACTGAACCAACCTGCATGGATTTTTGACAAAAGAAAGAGACAATTATTTAAAGCTCTAGATACAACTGTGGTAATCAACAAAAGAAGTTAAGTAAAAGAAAGGAAGTCAGAAAAAGTTAAGTTAGTGAAAGTGAAGTTAGACTGTGTGATTGTTAGCTTAGCTATAAGGGGTGATATGTTAAAGTGAGTTTCACAGTTTGACAGAGATAAGGAGAATAATTTGTCTTGTCAAAGGGTGTTCTAAAGTAATTGAACCCAACTGTGTGGACTTTTGACAAGAAAAGAGAATTATTTAGAGTTTTAGATACAGCTGTGATATCCTATAGTGTAAAGAATTTTTGTACATACGTTTGACTTGTTTTGAATATATTATTTTAAAACAAGTGGATTGTGTGCTGTTCGTTTACTGTTTGAATTTATTTCCAACAAGTCCAAGACACCTATAGAAGAATCCTAGCTCATATACATAAGACCCTGACATTAACAAATCTTTATTTACTGGCTCTATATGGTTTCTACTATTTCAACAAGTTTGGGTATTATATAATACCATATGAATTCAGACCTCCAGTTAACTTTAAAAGCAATCTAGGCAAAGTAATCTCCTGTGTTTTGTATATTGGTTAGCTGGGTGATGGTGAATAAACCCAGAAATTTTTGAAAAATGATAATGATGTATCTCAGTAATTTTCCCATAGTAATGCCATAGTAGAATTATTACCAAGAAAACTCTGTAAGTACGTTTATTTTGCGAGTTAGGCATACTTACCATTAATAATAAATTGACAAACAATAATTTATAAGCATAATGAAGTAATTTATTTTTTGGGGAATGTATTACATGTTTCAACAGAGCATTAGTCTGTCTTCTTCACATATGCCTGAAGATGACAGTCTAATGCTCTGTTGAACCTTCTGGTATGTTCCTCCAGAAGTAAATCACCTCATTAATTATGATTATAATATAAATCTTTGTTTGTTAATTTACTACTATACTATATAATGTGTTTCCATACACAAGTATATTTACCATCAGTCTCAGAATTTCTTTTGAAATGTTGTTTGTGCTCTTAGATCTACAAGTGAGTTCAGCCTGTAGCAAACATTAAATAAGAAATAACTAATTTGTTATCATTACGTGGACTGAACTTGGCATTCTATTTACCAAATCATAAAAAAAAACTAGCCTAGTGATAAAACATGTTTCAACAATATGATTTTAAATGTAAATTTATTTTGTAAATTTCATCCCCAGTCAGCAAGCATATCTAGATATACAACAAAGGAAAATGCTTAAGGAAACTTGATAGATATGACAATAATTGTAGAGAATGTGCTCAGATGTTTGTAAATATAAGCATCTCAAACTAATATGATAAAATGCAAAACATATCTCTGTTGTAAATAACAGAAATTAAACAGTGAAAAACTGGCAGATGGTAATAAGTTAAACTGTATATTTTGATTTTGTTGCCTAAGAATTTTTTTCTCATCAGATATAACCAGTATTTGTGTAATTTACAGTAATACTTTTAAACTTTTCTGAGCAACTGCCTAAGTTGTTAATTTTAATCTATGCTACTACAATCTAACAGAATCTTTATCAAGCTGGAGTTGGTCAGTGGGGAACGGATGACTCAACTTTCAATGCCATTATGGCTTCTCGAAGCTATGCCCACCTATATCTTGTGTTTCATGAGTACCACCAAATTGCTGGACATACTGTGCCTCATGCTATAGAAAAAGAATTTTCTGGAGACATCAGAACTGGATTTTTGACCATAGGTAATACTTTAATCTTTTTTGTTTAAATCTCTGACATTATGATTATAAACTTATCTAAATATATTTTATGATTGGTTTTAAACTCTAGCTTAATTGTTCTACACCAGGCTTGCAAGAAATTAATTTTTTTCTCACACCTATTAGGAAACAGATACTTGATAATTTAGTAAAGATATACAAAACATTGAATGGAAACAACACTCTTGCTGTAATATTGGAAATTCCATAGAACAAACCAATGAACTTCATCTATATTATAGGACTTAATTCCAGTTATTTATCTAGAT